TTCTTTTTAGTTTGTTAATCTTAGTTTGCTACGTAATTATTTTATAACACAATGCTAATTAATTTCAGAATAAGACTTTTACTAAAGAATATCCAAGCAGATATAGGAAGACAATGTTAACTCCGCTATAGCGTGTGGTGCTATAGTTTATCATTAAAATTGAGTCAAATTGGAGAGTTAAAGAAGCTGACAATTTTGTATTTTGAATTGGATGAGCATACACACATATACACAAAAAGGTATTCGAGGTTCGAGAATAGAAGCTTACACTCATAATTAATGCTCCATTTAAATATTCTAAAACTTGAATCCCTTAATATTCCAAAAATACAAATTATTATTATCATTATTGTTATTGTTATTATTATTATTATTATTATATATTAAAATGCATCCTGTACACCATGGAGAGTTGTGAATGAAGCATAGATTAAGGGACTTCTTCGGTCCCAATGTTGAGAAACAAACAGAATAGAAGAAACATTTCTTTCCCCAATATGGTTGAATAATCAATAAAATAAAAAATACATTACCAATTCAAAACTTTGTAAGAATCAAAATTTTGTAAGACTTACTAGACGAGTTCTATGTTAGTTAGGACTTTTTTGAGACTATCTTTCCTTAAATCTTATTCTCACCCAATTTATGTGGTACTTTTCAAATTTTAAAATTCAAATAAGTCTATCTTAGACTTGTGAATTTTTCATATATCTTTTAAATATTTTGAATTGTCAATTATTGTGACTATATAGTACTTTTTTGTAGTTTATAAATATATAAATTTATTTCAAAAAATTTAAGATTTCATGCACAAATTTTCGGTCAAACTTAAATTGTTTGACTCTCGAAAAACGCAAAGTGTCACATAAATTGGGATAGAGGGAATAATTCATACTCCCTATGTCCCTAATTACTTGTCCACTTTTGAATTGACACACCTACTAAGAAAACAATTATTGACACAGTGAGTTTACCATTTTACCCCTATTAATTATGAAGTGGAAGAATTAAAAACTTAAGATTTTCAAGAAGTTCTACATTTTTCAAAGTAATTAATTGAGGGTATAATAGGTTAAAAACAAATTATTTCTTGATTTGTCAAAATGTACAAGTAATTAGGGATAAAGGGAGTAGCTATATAAAAGTATTATATTTCCTTGAAAAAGGCATCTCAAAAAATATCTCATAAACTCTTGGATATTCATAAAGAGATCAAAATATGCAAGACTCTTTTTGATAATCAAATACTTTAAGAAGATCCACAAATCTTTTTTATGGAGATCAAGTCCAAATCATCTACGTTAGAGAAATAAGCTATTAAAGGCCCTCGAACCAAAAGGAAAGGAATCGAGAGATGAACAAAATTATACCCACATATTTTATCAATAAAACTATACTTCTTCATATTTTATTTATGATTGCAATTTATTTTCTCAAGAGACTAAAATATGAAATATTTGATTAACGATTAAAAAAAAAAAGTATTTATCACTCCATAGAGATTTTGAGGTCCAAAAAAATCTTAAATTCAAGGATCTAAATCAAAGTAAAGAAAAATTCTAATAAATTCCTAGAAGGCACTTGGACTTGAGGAATTAAAAAAAATATATAGTGCCAACCCATCGACTATAGGCAAATCTTAGCAAGGCAGCATTAGCCTTTGGTACAACTTTCGTTTTGTGGGGTCACTCTTTCCCACTATATATTTATTTTATAATAATTGTAGAATAAATTATTACTCACTCACTCCTCACATCCTTTTCATAATTAATTAGTATACATTTTCTAAATGTAACTTCAAGTTAGATACAACAAGACGTAACTATATACTTGAATTTTAGGTAAAGAAAAGTCTAGAAAAGGTTTTATAAGTTACTATTTTCGTTCTTTTTTAGTTGTCATGATAAGATTTGACACAGTTTTTAAGTAAAAATTAATAAAAAAAATTTGTTTGATCAATATATCTCTTATTAATTCTTTAATTTTTATCTATATATGTAATGTTAAGGGCAAAGTTGAAAAAGATAATTAATTCTTTCTTGATTGTTTAAATTGACAATTATTTTGAAACAAATATTTTTAGTATACATGACAACTAAAAAAACAAAGGAATTACGTTCAATATTCATTTATTATTTATATCATATATATATATATATATATATATATATATATATATATATATATATATATATATATATATATATATATATATATAAGAACCCTAGGCCTGCTTATGTGGCGCCACCACAAATCAAGATTCTCTTTTAATTTATTTATTTCCAAAACTATCCTTCTCCTTTCATGAAAAGTTGTGACTTTTACGTAAAGTTGTGACTTTCATGAAAAGTTGTGACTTTTATGAAAAATTGTGACTTTTATGAACAGTTGTGACGTTTATGAAAAGTTGTGACTTTTATGTAAATTTGTGACTTTTATGAACAGTTGAGACTTTTATGAAAAGTTGTGACTTTTATGCAAAGTTGTGACTTTTATGAAAGGTTATGACATTTCCGAAGGGTTGCAACTTTTCCAAGTAGTTGTGACCTTTTCGTTAAGGCACAATAAACATTTGTTCACACTACACTAGAGGTGAATAATTTCCATAAGGGGACATTGTGCATTCAGTGGACCCGATTTTTTCCTGTCTATTTTATTTTATTGTTACAGATCCTGGTATGTTTTTTTACAGTCATTAATAAACTTATGTTATTAGGTAAATGATAAGATGTTATAATTTTTATTTTCCTTTACACTATTAATGTTCGTTACTACGTAAAATAGTATTGTGTTTTAGCTTTAATGACTGATAGATTTTAAGTATTGTTTTATAAATTTCCGCACGAGGCGCGGGTAATTTTACTAGTTAATATAATATAAAAAAAAGTGAAGTCTAACCACTACCAGCTTAATTCGCAAGTATAGACGGCAAATAAATTACAGATTTAACCAAAAATGTATCTCTCTCCCTCCTACCAAACTTAACTTTAAAACTATTATTACAACACTTACAGTTGTAATGTCAAAATCATTTTATTAATAACGTGTTTACATCACTAATAACATTATCCTAGCTTAGTAGGGGTGTCGAATTGATCCCAAAAACAAATGATCTGACCAATCCATTCAGATTTTTATGAATTGGGCTAACATAAGATAATTTAAAATTGAATAATGTTTAATTCAATAAAATATTATCCATTTTAAAATTATTGTCAACTTAATCCAATTTAATTCTCAATTTCAAATTTTTTTTTTATCTTTACAAAATCAGAGGTTTTGCCCAAGTATTTTTTATCCATTCAATAGGATCGAATCTCAAATTTCAAATCGAGGATCCCAAGTCAAGGTTGGGAGGTCTCGAATCAGGGTCAAGACTCAAATCATGGGTCAAGGATCAAGGTTAGATTCTAACTCAGGTTTGGATCTTGGTTCATCTCTCGGGTCAACGTTCAAGTCTCAAGTTAGTCTCATGTCTCGGGCAGGGCGTAGGTCTCAGGTTGGAGTCGGGATGGAAGTCGGCAATCAAGGTTGGGTCTCAAGTCTTGGGTAGGGGCACGTCTCAGGTTGGAGTCGGTCAAAAGTCAGCAATTAAGGTCGGTCTTAAGTCTTGAGTTGGGGGTCAGGTCTCAGGATGGGATCAGTCTTGAGTCCCAAATCCTGAATTAGGTTTTGTATTAGGCCGGGGCGTTCGGTTGGGATCATGTCTTGGGTCGGGGGGTCAAGTCTCATATCTCGGGATGGGTTCGGTTAATAATCGGTACTCAGGGTTAACTCTCTCTTATCGGGTCAAGTCTTAGGTCAGTCTCATGTCGCGGGCTAGGGAGCATGTTTCGGGTTGGGGTTGAGCTAGAAGTTGACAATCAAGGTTGGGTCTCGAGTCCTAGGTAGACTCTCTCTTCCTAGGTCAATTCTCTCTTATCGGGTCAAGTCTTAGGTCAATCTCGTGTCGCGGGCCGGGCCACATGTTTAGGGTTGGGGTCGAATTAGAAGTCATCAATCAAGGTTGGGTCTCGAGTCCTAGGTCGACTCTCTCTCTCTTCCTAGGTCAGGTCTCTTGTCCTAGTAACTAGGCCTTAAGTCGGGGTCGGGGGCTAAGTCTTAGGTTGGGGTAGGGTCTCGAGTCCCAAATCAGGATTAGGTCTCAGATCTCGAGTCGGGGTCAGTCAATAGTTGGTAGACGGGGTTAGTGTTCTCTTCCCGGATCGGGTCTCTTGTCCCGATTTCCAATAGTCGGGCCTCATGTCTATTATTTTGTGCCTTTTTTTCTAGCAAATTTGGTCTTATTTTCTTTAAAAATTACATTAGTATGTCAATATTACTTAGATTAAGAGGGTCATGATCTAACCCGGCTCTTAGATTAGTTTAGTCTAAAGTAAATTTATATGAGTCATGGTCAAATCCTATTTTTAGTTCAACCCATTTTAATGTCATCCTATAACCCGCTCATTTAACACCCCTAATCCTAGCACTTTCAATTCCTTTATTTATATATATATATATATATAGCTCCACAATTTATTTATTTTTCATACAAGTCAGCTTCTTCTCACCAAACTTTTTAATTCGAAAGTCAACACGATTTGTGCAGGCTAATTTGGAGATCTAATAGAATAAAGAAAAAGAATCACACGCTACACTTTGAAAATGGTACGGAATATATTAACTAAGTATATACCCTCTTGATCTCAGTTTATATGACTCACTTTTTTTTAATATGTTCTAAAAAAATGACACATTTCTAAGTAATATTTTAATTTTAAAATGTTTATTTTATTATTAATGAAATGATTTAGTCATAGAAATTTCAAAAATCTTTCTTTGTTTCTTAAACTTCATATCAGGTTAAACTAACTCATATAAAAAGGGACGGAGGGCGCAAGTAGTTTCATTCTAAAATAAAGAAATGATTTAAGAAAGCAAATTAAAAGGGTGGAAGAAGGAAAGTGAGTATTAATGGTGAAGATTGTATGGTGGGCAGAGAGGCAGATAGAAATATTGAAGGAGAGATTAAGTAAGGTGTAATAATAAAAGAAAGTGGGGATTGTTGAGAAGACAGATAGGTTTTATTACTCTATTTTTCTGCCCCATATATTAACTCCCTTTTTCATCATTGTAAAAACAATGTTTTGACTGTCCATTTTTATTTATATGTTGCTGCTCTCCTCTCAATCATCATGAATCTCAACCACCTCTTTTCCTATGCATTTACTACATTTATGCGTTTAAAGGAGTTCTTTTTCTTTCTAGTAATGGTGGTCTAGTTTCTTTCTTTTCTTTTTTTCTCTTTCCTTTTCTTTGGCACTGAATGAAATATGGTTAGAATTAAGAAGAAAGATCAAAGTTTTCTACTACTCCTGGTTTTGTGTTTGTTCTTTGTTATGTGTGAATCACATAATTTGAACTACACAAAGTATAAACAAGTTAGCAATATGAGACTTGAAAGGATTCAAAGGCATTTGGATAGAATCAACAAGCCTCCTCTCTTCACTATTCAGGTACATATATTATCAATGTCCATTTTAATTATGTTGTATTTATCAAAACATTTCGTTACGTCTTTCTTTTAACGAAAATGAAATTAATAGAGCCCGGATGGAGATATCATAGATTGTGTTCATAAAAGAAAACAACCAGCTTTCGATCATCCTTTGCTCAAGAATCACAAGATTCAGGTATGGACTACTTTCTTCTTTTTTTCGCCTTTTGTGCTGATGAGATAAATTAAATATTGCAAGTTGCAACCCCCTACCTCCTCCTTCTTTATGGAATTTGTTGCTAGCTCATTTATAGTGTAGTACGATCACGAACCAACTACATGTTTATTCCTTTGGAATTAACGGTGTTTTTCTAAAGAACGGTTGCAAATAGTCACATAACAAATTATTTATATCTCATATTATTTTGTCACGAGTTTTAATTGGTAATGATCTTCTATAAGCTCTGAATAAAAGAAAATAACTTTATAAAGAAAAAATATCGTATAATTGAAATAACATTTGTAATGAGTCTATAAAAAGTTTTTTTTTTTTTTTTTTTAAACAAACAAACCCAAAAAGATGTGGCGCAATAATAATGATAATATTAGGATTTGAACTACCAACCACCCTTACTTTCACTTTAATTTTTCTTTTCTTTTCTTTTACTCACAAGCAACAAGTTATTAAATCATCATTAATGAAAACAGATTATTAACTTCTAAATCATTGCAATGTAATTACAGAAGATTCCACCAGAGATTCCAAAACTGAAAACGTCAGTGAAAACAGACGCGATGATGAGTAGAGACGTCGTAAGTAACAATAGCAAAAGTGCAGTGGTAGATTGGCAATTATGGCACCAGAACGGAACGCGGTGCCCTGCAGGCACTGTTCCGATAAGGCGGAGTGAGGTTCATGATGTGCTTAGAGCAAAGTCATTGTATGATTTTGGTAAGAAAAAACGACATGGATTGCCTATTGCTCGTCGTGTTGATGCTCCTGATGTTGTTAGTGGCAATGGACATGAGGTATGTAACTTTTTGCCTCTGTCTCCAATTATTTGTCGTTTCACATAAAGAAAAATACTTATAAAAGAATTTTGTCTACTTTAACCTAAACTATATTTACGATATAAATCTCTCTTTATTAAATATTTACTCAGTTAATTATGTCTCATCTTTATTAATGAGTATGCAATTGTCAAAGTCATCTTGTTATCATATCAAGAAAAATGAGTTGAAAGATCTAAATATCAAAGTAATTTTGTCTATCACATCAAAAAAATAGAAGAAGATCTAAAAAAAAGACACCTAGAAATAAATGAAATTGAATCAGACAAGGCCGGAACTCGTTTTGTTAGGTTGAAACGGCCAGTATCTATTAGTAATGCCCCTCCCCCAAACAATATAATAGGAGACAAGCAAATCCGCCACTCCTATGTAATGATGCATATTAGCTGTACTAATATAATATCTTGTTTATATATTTTTTTAAAAACTCTATATATAATTAAGGATTGTGTAGTCTTTAAAAAAAATATAGTAGGAATTTATTGTAGGTGTAATTTGAAGAAGATATGATTATAGAAGCCGTGTTACATTAAAGAAGAATGCAGTACATATATATGTTGGGTAGATAATTCATTAAAGTCATTACTAGTGGTAGTTGTAAGGCGTAAATGTCCCAAGTTAGTGAAACTGAAATATGTATGACTAGTAATTTAAGGTTATTTATTGTAATTTAGGTAGAGTGTGTGCTATCTACTTAATTATATTATAGCTCATAAATAGGAGTTATATATGTTAATTATGACATTTTTAATTAACATATATGAATGAACGAATGAATGGTCTAAAATAAAATATTGTATGTATTATAGCACGCAATAGCATACACAGGAGGGTCTGAAGAGATATATGGTGCAAAAGCAACAATAAACGTGTGGGAACCATCAATCGAAGTGGTGAACGAGTTTAGTCTATCTCAGATTTGGGTTTTATCTGGATCTTTTGACGGGTCGGATCTTAATAGCATCGAAGCTGGCTGGCAGGTACGACTAAACCATTAAATTATAGTTTTTAATCTTTTATTTTATATAATTATTTACGTTTAATTAGCTTTTTATTTTTTATATATTTCAAATTTGTAAAGCTTTGATTCTTCTACTAGTCAGGTTAGTCCGGAGCTGTATGGTGACAGCAGACCTAGATTATTTACATATTGGACGGTTAGCTTTCTCTTCCTTCATTTATTCTTATTTTTATTTAATTTATATCACTAATTTTATTTTTACGTATAATAATAAAATACTCAGTATAAAGCCTCTATTAATAAAATTTGAGAAAGATAAATTATATGTAGATCGTAGCATAACGTTTCATGGGAGTACATTAATTAGTATACTACTAAGTACAAATATTATCATATACGACCTTAATAAATAATAATGCCACATCAAATTCAAAAGTGAGAATAATACCTATAGCTAAAAGGGATATAAAACGATTATAAATGTTTTGGAAAGAACCTCTATTAAATAAATGCAATGCTTTGGGGCACGGACTTTCATACCTAAGAGTCATTTATGTTAGCTTCTTTATTTAGTGGTACTATCTCAGTTTATTTAGGGAGATTTAATTTCGTAGTCTTTTTACAAATTTATAACTTTCTCTGTTAAAAAATAATTGTCATTTGATACACACATTAAGAAATAATAAATAATAAAGATAATATTATTATATTATTATTTGCAAATATTAAATTTAATGTTTTGAAGAATGTACTAGTATAAAATTTTCCTATTGAGTAGTGGAGTATTTAATAACAAGGGTAAAATAAATATAAAAGGATAAATTATCTCTTAGTTTTTCAAACTGAACAAGGTTTGTTGGACAACTATTTTTAGTATAGTAGATAAGTAAAGTTGGACGGTGAAAGTAGTTTTGAAAGGGAAGAATGGGAGTTGGCACCTATATACTTTCTTGCTCTTAATGATATGATTTCTAGTCACATAAAATATCTATGACTTATTTTAAATTATAAATTTTAAAAATCTATCTTTCTATCGTTAATTTTATATTTAGTCAAACTAACTCATTTTGTGATCGAGGCCTTAACATTTTTGTATGGGAATCAAAAAGGGATAAGTTGAAAGTCAACTTTTTCATTGGGTCAATGGAAACTTCCCAACTTTGTTTATTTGAGGAGTTTCGTGCTTTGGAAGTAATTGTCTACCTAATAAATTATGTCCCACTTTGGATTTTCTCTTTTTTTTTATTACGTAACTCGAAGCTTCCAATTCTAAAATTGTAATCTCAACCTTAGCACATAAAGAGGAAATATATAATTAAATTAATTAAGGACGTGCAAGAGGGTAGCTGGAAAAAATTAATTAAACTAATCACTTCTCTGATTTCATGATTTCTTAATCAACTATCTAGATCTCAATGTACGTGGTCAACTCCTTGCTAATAAATATCGTTTTAACAAAAAATAAAATTATTTAAAAATAAGAACTCCCTCCATTCCATATTAACTTAAGCTTTGAGGTGTTTCATACCCTTTAAGAAAAGTAGGTTAGGACATAAATTGAACATAATTTTTCATTTTTACGCTTATTAATTACTGTCAAAAATAACTAACCATTAATTATAATAACTAATTCCAATACTAACTTAAAGGGTAAAATTGGAAGAATATTTTAAAATTAGTCTTGAAGATTGAAAACTTAAGTTAATTTGAAAAATGGAAAAGGGCTCAAAGCTTAAGTTAATATGGAATGGAGGGAGTAACATTTTAGAAATTTAACATAAAAATAATATTTGATATTTTGATTTGATATTGAGTTTTATTTTGATTAGATATTGTGTATTTGAGTTTAAGAAAGTAAATAATTTTGATCTTGTGATAATAAATTAAAGATATGTAAAATATATCAAAATGACATATAATTTTGTGATTTTAAACATGTCATGTTAAAAGTTGGAATTAAAGAGTTGTCATAACATAAATAGACATTCTTTTTAAATAAAATAGTCAAAATACCTAGGAATTAAATAAAATAGATAAAATAATACTGTTATAATTCAACTCCATTGAAATGATCTGAGAAATACCTTTTACATATGTCCAACTAATTATTAGGAAAAGGTGGAGGACAGGGTATGGAAAGAAAGAGGAATTATTAAAGTGATTGAATTCAATGGTCAAAAACTCAAATGGAAATAATATAAAGTGAATAAGAGAAAAGAGGATGGATGCATGGAGGAGGCATAGTGGCACATGACTTGTTAAGAGTCAAACATTTAAAGAGCACATTAAACATGACTACTCACTTCCCATAGCTAGATTGGTGTAAATGCTATGTGGTCCAAGGAAAATGACTTGCAATTTTTAAACCAAACTTTTCCTTATTATACTCCAAGGAAAATTATTTGTACATGTAGACCAAGGAATCTCTCTTGGAAATGAAGAGGAAATACTCCTTCCCTATCAAATGAAATATATGCTCCTTTCATTTTAAAATATTTATCACAATTAAACAATATAAAATTTGACTAATATTTTAAGATGTACCTTTTTAATCATATTGATATATGAGAAAAGTGCATTTTATACTACTTCTTAGAAGATGAAGATCTGAATCTTAATTTTAAAATATTGAATTAATTTAGCTTTAAAAATGAGTTAAATTGAACTTAACAACTATTTCAAAATAGAAGAAGTATTAATTAGGAAAAGTTTTAACTATCTTACCCTTATTTATGTTTATATCATCTCTAGGCATTAAATAGTTATTTTATTTTATGTGTCATTATCTTATAATGATTCTAGTGTTTTGTAGTCATCATCCTTTTGTATCCACATTCTTTGAATTTCCTTAACCACAGCCTCCCTATATTGTTATGTTATTTATTGCACTAATAAATAACATTAACTACATTGAAAAGCCCCATTCATAAAAATTTGAACCATCTTTTCTGGCGCAATGCGTGCTAAATATTTAATACTTTCTCATCATAAAGATGTTGAACATTAACGATGACAGCCACAGTAAACACAAATGAAAAAGTGATGAGGTAGTAGTCGCTTGTCCATAGTTACTTGTCTATTTTTGAATTAACACATTTATTAAAAAAATAATAATTGACATAGTAAGTTTACCATTTTATCTCTATTAATTATGAAGTGTATGAATTAAAAACTTAAAATTTTCAAGAAGTTCTACCTTTTTCAAAATAATTAATTGAGGGTATAATAGGTAAAATATTTTTGTCCTTTCTTGATTTGTCAAAATGGACAAGTAATTAGGGACAACTAAAAAAGAAAAAGTGAACAAGTAATTAGGGAAAAAGGGAATATAATCAAACCATGATCATATATAGTACTTCTTCCATATTTTCAAAATAAGTGAAAATCGTTAATTATTTTTATAGTTCAAATTAACTTAATTATTCAACCTTCAAGAATAATTTTAGAATTTTATTCCAATTTTACCTTTCATTTGAATTTTCTATGTGATAACTTCAAGAAAATTTAATTTCTTTGAAGTATTAGGAATAGTTATCATAATCAATGACTAAGGAGTAATTTGACAATGAATAAAAATGGTAAAAATGAAAAGTAATGTGTAATTAATGTCTTAATAATTTTTTTCTTAAAGGGTGTGTAATACCCCAACAATTCACTTATTTTGAAATGGAGGGAATATTTTTTCTAAGAGGAGTGCAAAGTCCATTGTGAACAAGTAAAATTGAACTGAAATTGAACTGATAGTACTTCCTCCATTTCAAAATAAGTGAATTGTTGGGGTATTGCATACCCTTTAAGAAAAAAATATTAAGATATTAATTAGATCTTATTTTTCAGTTTTACCCTTTTTAATTATTATTAAATTACTCTTTAGAATAACTAAAAATTGATTATAATAAAATGTGTGATCATCTCATCTAAAAACTTAAGCTGTTATAGAGAACACACTTTTATTAGTTAATGATATTCTCAATAAATACAAAATAAGCAATTAAAGTTTCTTGAACTCATCGCACAAGAAATTCAAATGAAAGGTAAAAATAGAAAAAAATTCTAAAATTATTCCTAAACATTGAAAAGTTCAGTTAATTTTGAACTATAAAAAATGTTTCACATGGTTGTGTTACAATTTAATGTCATTAACATGTGGATCTTGATGATAACTTTGCCTTTCTTTCTGGAACCTTAAATTAATTATATAAGATATTCAATTTGTGAAGTTGATTGTGGAATTGAATAGAGAATCAGGTCAAGGAACTTCCTTTTTTCGCTTTCTCTTCAAAAACCTATCTCTAAAGTGGAGCCTAGTTTAAGCTGTCAAACAAGTAATGATTGAATGAAAGAAAAACCACTAGTAGAGATATGGATGGAGTCTCGCTTTCTTCTCTCCCTCTTATTTCCAAGATCGAATTCCAATTTTTTCTTATGTAGTGGAAACATCCTACAATCTGAAGTTTTACGCTTCAAGAACTTTATTTGTTCTGTGAAAACACATACCACTTAAACTATGTCTATATTTAAAAGTCTAATGTGTGACAATATGTATTTTTATTTTTTTTGTAATATGAACAGAGTGATTCCTATCAAGCAACAGGATGTTACAACCTATTATGTTCAGGATTTGTCCAAACAAATAGCAGAATAGCCATTGGTGCTGCCATTTCTCCTGTTTCTTCTGTTGAGGGAAGTCAATATGATGTTACTATACTCATTTGGAAGGTCCCTTCTTAATTCCCTTCTCTCATTTTTGCATTTTTAGCTAAACTTAATCTAGAAAATGGAATACTAATCTACACCCTTATAAATAACAATATGTAAGTAATTCTTTACCATAGTAGTGTATTTAGACATTTAGTTTATAGTTTATTTGACCAAACTTCTAAATTCAACTTATTTTAAAAGGTATTTTTCAAAAAAGTACTTTTAGTGAAAAGTTGATTTTTGTTGTGTACCACAATGACGAAAGAAATCTAGTTATCGTCAAAGGATGTGATGCAATGAATGAGACTGCTCCTTCCTTAATCAATGGTCTTTCGAGCCCTGATATGAAAAAATCATTGGTAAGAAGCGCTTTCCCCCAAATGGGATCCGACGCTATGCGAATATGAAATAGTCGGGCTCTCGAACACTGAGTGGGAAACCAAAACGAAGAAAGAAAGCAAGTTTCCATTTTCATTAGTTTTTATTTATTGTTGGCCCGTTGACCGAAATTAATTACAAACCCTAGTCAAAATGTACAAAATTTATATCTTGATTATGTATATTTGTGTATACAACAGATAATATGTATATTTGTGTATACAGCATATAATATAGATTATGTATATTTGTCCAATATGTAATGTGTTATTGTTTTTGTGTATATATGTATAGGATCCAAAGCTAGGGAATTGGTGGATGGTGTTTGGTGACAACACACTAGTAGGTTATTGGCCGGCTGAGTTATTTACACACTTGGCGGAGCGTGCTACAATGGTGGAGTGGGGAGGAGAGATAGTAAATTCACGGGCCAACGGAGAACATACGTCTACACAAATGGGCTCGGGCCATTTTGGTGATGATGGATTTAGAAAAGCAAGTTACTTCAGAAATCTTGAAATTGTGGACTCTGATAACAGCCTAAGTTCAGCCCAAGATATATCAATCTTGGCTGAGAACACAAATTGCTATAACATAAAAAATGCTTATAGCAGTGAATGGGGTACACATTTCTATTATGGTGGACCTGGTAGAAATCCACAATGCAACTAATATGATGATGAGGCAAAGTCTCTAGCTAGTTATCACCAATTTGTTCTTTATTATTTTTATTTACATCTTTTAATGCTATTTCCAACTTTGTTTATGCTGATTAATTACACATTGTTTTTCTTCTTGTGTCTATGTTTTGTTTGAGGGGGAAAATGTATGTATTAGTTAAATAAGACAAATAGCATTAAACAGGGCAAGGAAATGGCAAATATTTTAGTTGGAATGGCTACTAGTACAAAATTTGTGATCATGTCTTTGAATCTTATTAAATGTATCAATTTGTTTTTTTTATTAATTATCATTTGATCAGTTGGTCTTTTATATATAATTTTTAAGATTGTTAAAGATTTGTCTGGTTTGACTTTATAGAGGATTGAGTCATTTCTTCCCATTTCAGATACTAGGACTCTTTGTTAAGAGAGGTGTGTATCGTTGATTTGATTATAAGGTCACTAAAATAATGATCTGAAGCTTTATTTTTTTTGGTCCCCTTATTTTTTAAAACGATATTTTTTTTTAACTATATAGAAAGGTCATAGCTAGAATGATCAACCACAAATTTGCAAATAATCTCATTCTTCAAAGGTAATATATGGTCATTATACTTGATTGATTTTTAGCAAACCACATACTCTATCTTTCATTTTCCTTCCACAGTGTTTTTTTTCTCTTTCTCCTCACTTTCATCTTAAGAGAGAATGAGATGACTCAAGCAAAGAAGTAGGCAAAGTGCTATGTCATCTTCCTTAAACGTCTTCTTCTTCTTCTTTATGCTCATGTTGGAAAGTCAACTAGTAATAGACATAGTGACGACACGTAGTGGTGGAGTCAGAAATTTCATTAAGGGTGTCCAAGAATAATGTTGTGTGACTGTCAAAATAGAATAAAAAAATATTATGATATTTGGGATTCGAACTGAAAACTCCTTCATTCAAATGAACACCCATTACCACTGCGCCAAAGTCACAGCTTTTGTCAAGGGTGTCCAACCTTAAATATTTATCCCCTTTAAATGTAGAATTTGACATATATATACAACAGAATTTTTACACCCTAGGTGGTTGTGGCTACGCCACTGATAACATGTCAATATTCAGTTTGAACAACTTTGATGATTGACAGGTCCATATTCAGAAAGGAAAATATGCTAAAACTCGACAGACTTCATCGAGTTGTCAATGATTTTTTATGAAGAGAAAATCAACGCACTTTCATTGATTATTTTTCCCGTAAAAATGCGCAAAAACTATAACAAAAAGATTTTTGTTTTTTGTAAAAAAATAAAATAACGTGCGTTCGTCAATTTTATTTTATGAAATCTAAAGAATGTCTATTGAGTTAAAGTGCAGATGAAGAGCATAATAAAAATAATGGAATCTTAAAATTAGGATTTTGTAATTAAATGGTACATTAACGATGAAGTTGACGGGTTAATATAGAACCAAAGATAAATTGTCAAAATGAAAATTAAGTACAAGTTGAAAAGGTTGTAGGTATTAATTTGGCCATATTAAAATCCTATATATTCACATGAAACAGTACTTATACAAATTGAAACACAACAATTTGTCAAAACCTATTTTTTTTTTTTGTAATACTTTATACATCTATCAATATCCACATTCAATTTGGAAATCATATCACGAAATGTTAAAGATTAATATGAAAAGCTTACTTATATGGGCAAACTACATAAATCCCACTAGTTTAGGTCCTAATTACTAAGATTCTCGATAGTTTCAAATATGACTTCCTCTATCATATTTCATGTTTGAGATACATGAATTTGAATCTGCGAGATACATGTATCTGCCGAATTTTAAAATCGAGATACGTATTTTATTTGTTTAAATTAATTGGTTGTAACTGATTTCCTTAATTAGAGGAGTCATTGAGGATTTTCAAATTTTCAGAATACATGGACAATTAATTTAGAAATTTAAATTAATCAAATCCCTTAATATAAGGCAGAAATCAAGTAGTGTATATATGTTTAATTAATTTTATTTTACTATTCTTTGAAATAATAAATTTCATTAATATTATTACTAAAAGACTAAAACATGTATATCTTGGTCATTTAATTTGACTAATTTCATTTTAAATTCATTAGTTTGATGTATCTATATCAATATATGATGTATCCAACAAACTAAACACTAGATACATGAGTATCATACAAGTACATTCATATGTATCATAGAAGTATCTGGTATTAATTTCATGTATCTATTCATATGACCTAATATTAATTTCATGTATCTATTTATATGACCTAATATTAATTTCATGTATCTATTTATATGATCTAATTTTAATTTCATGTATCTTTTATATGTATCTAGTATTAATCTGATGTATCAAGTATCAATTTTATACATTATATTCAAGAACATGTATCTTGGATACATAGTAAGCATATACATATAATTATATGTATCTAAATATGGAATGTAATTAAAACGCATGAACTTAAGAATAAATCACGAGTGTAGAATATTTGTCTTATCATTAATCCAAATTTTTAAAAAAATCAAATCGTTGTACGAAATTAATGACAGTGTAAATTTTCATCCATTAAAAAGTATGGAGAACTAATAGATTCAAACAATGTAAAAATCCTAAAATCGAACTTTAAAATAATTAGAGTTTCGAATTAGATACATTAACATGGTAAGAACAAAGTTACAATACAATATTTCGAAATAACTGAACAAAATCTTACTTTACCTATTTATATAATGTTGATTATAGATAATTGATTATGAATTTAGTACATGCAAACATGTATAGAGATGCTTAGGAAGAAAGGGGTAATGGTAGATGTGTGTGAAACAAAACATGTATTGAAATGGTTGAGGAAGAAGGGGGGTAATGGTAGATGTGTGTAAACAGTGAATAACGTGGGGGAGTGGGCTGATGGTGTGAAGAGAGAGGAACTAATTTGAATTGTTAAAGTCACATTAATTAAGGAGATATACTTTTAAGATAATTATAAAAAACCATATTTAAGGGGATTGTGTATCTAATTTAACTTTTTAAAAAATATGGTATAATTATTAAAAAGTGGTATTATATGTAATATTTTTAAACTAGAGGTAAAATATGTATATATAATAGTAAATTATGTCTAGATAGGTAGTTTTTCCTACTTATATTTGATAAAATGCAATAGAGTTTGGAGTTGAAAAGGTCACATTTTGAAGGGAAGATGTCAAAAGGGACGACAATGAGTTTTTGGATTAATCAAAATATACAAAACGTGAAACTTCTAGCGACAAACAAATTCTATTATTGTTAATGAATACAAGACTCTTTTTATTTTTATTTTTTTAATTTTCCTTCTAGTTGTGCTAAAACACATGACTTCCATTTTTTTTTTAAAAAAAAATTTAGTCATGTCAAATTACATAGCAAAGCTTACATTTTTTATTAATTATTAGTCGTGGGACATTGAATGACCAGTATATTGTTTTCTTTGTTTTAGGTCTTGCTTGTTTTGACGATAAGATCCTGGATAAATTTGGGCTAGTCTGTTAGGATATTTTGAAAACATTAAAACTCAGTACTAGCATTCTTAACTTTGCACTTTAATAACTTTGTTGCATCATTTGGATTAAAGCTTGTCGTGTGAAGTACCACAACTAAAAAAATAGTATGCAGGTTGTGCAACGTTTCACGACTAACAAATAACAAAATCTGTAAGTCTTAGTTGAGTAATTTGACACAAATAAAATAATTTTTTTCTTGAAGGTATTTAGCATGACTAGGAAGAAATTAAATTTTTAAAAAATATATCAAACGAGTCGTGTATTGAATCACGACAAACAATCAATGTAAATGGAGAAACGAATGTTTGGATTAGGCACTTATGATAATTTGAAGAGGATAAGAATTAACATTGTCTGTAGATGTTGGTGTTGTGAAACTCAACAAATAGAAACAATGTCCCACCTATTTCTAACAGCTTCTATAGCCCAAAAGCTATGGAAGTATTTTGCTTCATGTGCAGGTGTAGATATAGGAGACAAAAACCTACTGCCCCTAACAAGCTTAGGATTGTCCTTAGAGCTATACCAACACTGATAATGGGAGAGGCAAAATCATATTAAGCATAGTCTTAGATAACTTTGGGGGACTGATACAACAAGTAACAAAAAACATGGCCAGTTGCTGAAAGCGGGGAGAACTCAGGTCTCAACCTAATTGGAAAGACCTGGCCTACAAGCCTAAAATATACTACCATATTGTTTAGTGGAAGCCACCGAATATTGATCAAGTGAAATGCAATACAGATGGGGCTAGCAAAGGAAACCCAGGGGAGAGTGCTAGTGGGTTCTGTTTCAGGGAGAGGAATGGAGATATTATGTATGCTCAATCTAAAAGAATAAGACTTGGACACAAACACAGAAGCAGAGGCGACAACAATTCAAGAAGCTTTGAAAATCAGTTTTAGGAAGGGATTTCAAAATCTCTTGATTGAGACAGATTCACTTAGTCTAAAGAACATCATACAAATGACATTGAGGATACCATGGGAAATTGCAGAAATAATGGAAAGAGACGCAGACACAGAAGGCTAAAATCAAACATATTTTCAAGGAAGACAAATCCAATAGTAGATTATTTAGCTAACCTAGCTATTAATCAAACAGATATACAAAAATTCAACGAATTTGCAGAGTTACCAATAGCAGACAAACATATTATAAATATGGACAAAACACATATTTCATCCATCGGAATAAGAACATGGAAAATTAGACAACATGAAGATACAAGTTCAGACATATAGACAAACAAGGGAGGAGAGCAGCAAAGCAATTTACATAGAAGTATGCCCTCAGAAAGGGATCATTACAATTGATAAAATAAAGTTTTTCCTAATCTATGTTAACACACAGAAACTTTCACAAAAAAACAGGGGTACATCGTCATCTGTAACATTCAATCATGGAGGTCAGCATGAGATCCAAGAGAGGGGTGAGGGTGTTCTGTTTTTTTTTATTGAAATAAAATCCTTGATAGAACAAACATTTTCTTAACTTCAATCATAGAATGCCACGTGAGTTTGGTCAATATTCAATAATCAGAAAGACTTAATTAAAATATCTATTTTGAATATATTCATA